TTCACTGAGGACATTAGATATCTCTCCAGCTTGACCTGAGATGTTCAAATATTTTTCACTTGAAATGGAAACATCAATGTGTGCACATGTGGGCAGGAGCTCACCTTGAAGGCACCTTCCCTCACCGGCCTGGAGCCCTTGGCCCAGGAGAGATGTGGATGGAATTGTTCTTGGACTGGCTGAGGAGCTGAGGGTCACTCACACCTGAGAATGTTTGAAAGCGGAAATCGCCCACATGCTGGATGTGGGCACCCATCGTTCTGCCTGGACAGTTTCTGGGGAGGAAACCGTTTCCCCAGGCTGTCCTCAGCCCGGATTGAGGGACTGAGATTGGTGATTCCCACTCTCATACTGAAAAGCAGAGTCTGAGGTCCCACTGATCTCTCCTTTCTCTCTCCCCAAGTCATGAGCCAGGCCAGAGGCTCTGTAGGCCACGTGTTCTGGAGGGGTCAGTGGTGGAGGCCTTAAAAATATAAAGATGTGAGGGGGGGTGTTGTGGCAAGAACATGGAACATTATAACCAGATTTTTTAGTAAGAATTTAAAACTGTAAAGTATCTTGCTATAATAAGTTGTTATGAAAATTAATGAAGTATGCATGTATGGAGCTGAGTACAAGATCATACGATTTAGTGTGTATTCAAGAAATGGCTGTTATTGCTGTTTTTGAGAAAGCCAGGCTAAAATTCTGGGGCAGGAAAAGGAGAAGAGCTAAATTAATGCTCTTTGGCTCCTTGACCCTTAACCTCAAAAAGCTCCACTTTTATTATCTGTAACATGAAATTAATTATACCTTGTCGGTTGGTAAAAGTTTTCAAGGCATTCAAGGCTATATTCCTTAGCCTCACTTTAGTCAACCTTTTAATAGCTGGCCAGATTTCTTGGGCTATGTAGTCCAGAGCATGTAGTGAAGAATTGTTTGTACACTGGCGAAATACATATGCAACTGCAAGAGGAAACGATCTTCATGTCAACAGTAGATAAAGGTCTAAACTGGAGGTAGGATGCTGGCTGCTTCTCTTCCTACATAAACAGCAGAGAACGCTGTAAAGAGTAATATTGCCTTTTAATGGGCTCTAATGCTTGCATTGCTGTGCTCTCCACTTGATACTAGCAAAAAAATACCTCCTAAAAGGTGTGCAAAAGCTGCACAAAGGATTGTCAAGGCAAACCAGCCCCACGTTTTACTAAGGTGCCTTTCACACTTGTCAGGCATAGTACAGCACCAGTGTGGGAAGAGAGCTATCTTACTACAGTTCTGTTCCTTAGACTGCCTGCCCAGTCTTACCCTGTCAAGCTTCTTGCTTCTGATATAATGGGGTATTCCCTCTTCTGCATTAGAACCCGCAGGAGACTATAGGCTCTTTTAAGGGACTTTAAAAATGCTATGAGTTAAGGATACTATGAGGCTAATTTTCTTTCATACAGATAATGCTAGAATCTAGATATAAAATAGCTTCATTTTCTAAATGAGTTGGAGAATCAAACTTACACCTAACAGATATCTCAAGTTTTTCAATCTACATAAACTGATCGCAGGGCAGATGTATTACCCTAGTCCGAGCCTGTGAGAACCTGGACTGTTTTATTGAGGAGACAGTAAGACATTCTGTACGTGAGCTCTCTCAGTAGATAGTGGTCCTCACTAGCTTGCTGTCACCTTGGTTTTCTGAAGGTCAAAGTCTCTCAATTGTCTTGCATATGTTGCCTCATCAGCTGTAGAAGGAAGACTAGGCCTCAAATACCTAAAGCCCTGGGAAGACACTATTTCCAACCTTCTGGAAATTTCTCTTCTGCCTTTCATTTGAAAAGAAGCAACTTACTGAGAAAAAGGCTGGAGCAACTCCTTAGAGGCTGCAAGAGTGCCAATCCTTCCTCCAGCTCAGGAAGACAAGACTTCGATCAACAGAGTTTCGGAGGCTGAGGCTGCAAAGCACAGCAATCAGTGCTCACAGACTCTCTTGTGTTTCTGATTCCAGAGTGACAGCTGCATGAGGTTTATTAATTGAAGAGGGGGTGGAAATGTTCATGTGGTGTTTCAGAGGCCATAGGCTATGGAGGTGGTTGTTCAATAGACATCAGAAACAAAGAGACCAAGCTGAACTGGTGGAAACTACGGCCTTATTCTTGGAACGGGAGGCTAGGAGTCAGACACTGTCACTTGCTTTCAACAGAGACTGTGCACGGGAGTAAAGGAGGTGCATGTGTGTCCAGTTTCACAGCTTGGGTGCCACTGGGCCTCAGGTAGTTCTTCCTTGACTGGATATTACTATAGTAAGTGTGATGTATCAATCTGCTCACATCTCAGCCAATGGAGAAGTTGGAGGCCATATTTTTCTAACTTTTTTCCAAGACAGTGTTCTGCCTATTCAAACACCAGAAAAATGGGATTGTGACCAAACAGGAGCCCAATTTTATATTTAGAGATTGTTGAGCCAAGCCAGGAACACTCAGGAATAGTCTTAAAGATTTGACGACTTTAATTCTTTTGTTCAGGACTTGTGATTCTCTTAACAAAGAAAAGGTTGCTTGGCATTTTCCCACAAATCTAGAAGTTGGTGGGAAACATTGATCCAAACTGCATTTGTTCTTGATACAGATATTTCCATATGAAAGATGTTTAGGCTCATGAAAGCTCAGATGTCTCGAGAAAGCTAGAGAAGGCTGTGTGGGGTAGGGAAAGTCTCTGTGTGTGAGTGGGCCCATTCTCGCCCTATACCCAGGATCTTCGGCATTTTCCTTTGCAGACAGTGGCCTACAATGCCTAATTAGAGTCTGGCTATTGGCTTTGGTATCCCATTGCTGTGTTCCTAGTTTGTCTCACAAGGATTGGGTGTACCATGTTAAAACATAACATTGCAATGTTACAACACAACACTGTTGTGAAGATCATCTTTGTTCTCAAAATATCTTTTAAGAGCTAGTGGAGTAGAGAATGGCTTGTTTGTTATCAGTAATGCTCTTCCTTCACCCAGAAAACACAAGAGCCTAACAGTCAGGCCGTTCCCACAGGTACGTGTGGTCCCTATCAGGGATACACTGGTCTTCCAGCCTCCCTGACAGATCCTTCGTGGTGGTGCTGCTGACTTACCCTAGTGGACCCCCGCAGGATCCAACCGCTGCTGCGGACTGTTAGGAGGCCGTCACGCAGTGCTGAGCGTGATGTGTGATACTGATCTCTGACACGGGAACTTGTCATGTCTGAGCAAACTGACTTTTAGTTCTGTACCAGCTAGAGTCAGGAGTTCAGGAATGTCCTTTTGAGCCCCGGGTCAACTTGGATTGTCTGAAGTGGAAGTCTAGATGACACCCAGATTTTACCAGTGCCCAAAGAACAGCTTTCCGACCCGGCCCTCATCAGCCTGCTCCCCAGAGGAGGCAGCCTGGTCCCAGCAGGTCTTCTTCCCTCTTCACCACCTTCCCTGAATCTGGTATTCCCATGTAGAATGACCTGCTCCTAACTGGGTGGGAAGCTGGCCAGCACTGACTGCATGCTGTGTACTTTAAGCTTGTGATGGAGTATTTAAGGGTCAGACATACCTTCCTCAGGTAGAGCACCTTGGTCTCGAGTTAAAATTTCTGACTCAAGCCTGAATGGCTCTTACAGATCAATAGCTGTTTCTTGGAGGTAATGGGATATCCCGTAACGTGGCAATCATAGTGGGACACTGGGGAATTTAGAGCCTTATTTGTGCTAACACAACGCAACCAAGGTAAGATGGTGCGTATGTGGGTGAGACGGCGACAGGCAGAATGCTAAGGTGGCAATGATCTGTGCGTAAATGTTATTGTTCCTTGTCTGTAAGGATTTATATTGTATCAGCAAGTGGTAAGACCACTTGAATTTCATATCATCCTTAAGAAATATATACGGATACATATGTCATATACATGCTAATATCTATATATTGGGGTGTATGTGCACGTGTGTGTATGGAGCCTATTTTTGAAGAAGCACAAATAGCTGAATCTAGGGGAGTGACTGTGAGCTGAATTGCAGTAAATCACTGAGGTATTCTTCAGCAGTGAATACCCTTTTTTACATAATTTTATTATGTCTTTTAAAGATAGTAGCTATTAAATAAATCGACAGATAAAATGTATTTATGAGAGTATTTTGCCATCTTTGTTTATTGAACTTGGTAGACACTAAGTATTTTCATTTGGAATTAGCCCCCTCAGTCTGCACCACAACTTAAAATACAGTCTAAATACAGAACACTTTGGTACTCTATGCGGTTGTTGTAACTTAATGCCACACTGAATGCTGCAGCATTTCATAAAGGTTATTCTTAGATATAAGGATGGCTCTTTGCTGTGAATATGGTTTGCATGTCCGCTTTTGTTCCATCTGGCTTTCGGTTACTACCATTTCCCTTCCTCAGTCTCCGTGAGCAGCAACACTTGGTGTTGGCTAGCATCATCTGCGATACTCCAAAGGAATGGGCGGAAATGAACTCCTGTGCCCTTCTAATGTCTCCACGAAAGAAGCACACTGACCCTGAAAATGCCAGCACAGAGCCACCTCAGCGGCAGGAAAGACACTGAGTGAACCAGGATGTGCACTGATCGATGGCTTTACACAAAGACTCGGTTGCACGCCACGTCAGGGTCTAATAGAGCAAGCTTCCAGGGCAGACCATGCCTCCTGCACTCTCTGAGCAGCTAAAGCTCTATCTCTGCATGTTCATCTTAGAAGGTGACAAGGATGCCAGAGTGCGGCTTCCTCCACCCACCCCTAATAAGACAGTGTGAGTCAGGACTCAGGTCCCCCAGGAAGAGGAAATTGCAATGATTGGGCACTTTCTCTACCATTGGTGTGGCATGTACCATGCTGCAGCCACCCCTGTGTCACTGCGCCCGTGTAACAGGATTGCTGCTGCTATTTTCCCAATCGCCCCATCTAGTGAGAGGGCTAGGAAGCCACATGCCTCCTGCAACTACTGGAAGCCAACAAGTGAGTCTCCTCTCTCAACAACGTAAGACAACGGATGTAAAAACAGGTTAAATTACTTTGAAACTTTAATTACAGATACTTTTCCACACAACATTTCTGAAATGAAAGCTTTGATTCTCCCTTTGTTTGCATAAAGGCTGTGAAGGTGGGTTAGCCAGACCGTACATCTTTTCGTATATGCATATCTACACCTGTGTCTCTTCTTTATTAATAAAAGTTGTCTTGATCACAGTCCCAAACCAATTCTGCTTTAGATTCCAGCATATATAACTCAGAAAGTAAAAGAATTTCAAAGGAAGTCAGGCTGCAACCACAGGAAAATGGCAGGAACAGTTGTAGCTTGATAGTTGTTTCTTCTAAGTTCAACTCAGAAATATAATAATAATTAAGAGAAAAAAATAAGAGGCCCCAGCTTTCATCCCTGCTACCAAACACGCTCGTCCAAAACCCTCGGCTGTCTTAAAGTGCAATTACTGTTGTGAAGTTGCTCAGGCCAGGGATCAGGCTGGACGGAGTTCAAAGCAGAAACTTCAAACACTCCTAGCTGTTCATGACTCAGGGGCTGGGAGGGAGAGGAGAAAAAGGACAGTTCTCCGGCATTCAAGTGCATCAAAAGAATAAATGTCTTTTATTTCAGTAAAGAAAATCTGTCCATAGTAAGGAATCCTGCTTTGGAAAAATATGACTTTCTAAAACGTCTATCTGCGGATGTCCCAGTGCAGCAGAGTGACAAGGCAGGCGAGTGCAGTCAGAGGCAGGGGCTGCGTGTGCCTCCCACGGGCTCGGCCATACAGGCGGCTTCCGCTGTCTTCTGCGAGGTCCTCTGCCCTCAGCGAAGAGGAGGCGCACTGGACCAAGGGCATCTGGTAGGACGTAGCTCTCTTCTCCGGCCTGTCTGGGCTGGACCCGTCGCTGGGCCTCTGGCCATTGAACAGCAGATAGCGCCCCCGGGCATCCTGCTCCATTTTGAAGATCTCGTACTCCGTGTGAGGTAGTTTGATTCCCAAGGCCACGCAGCCATTGGTGTGGGTCACATCCTGCTGGATGCCCACCTGCCAGGAGCCCTCGGCCCCGCACTCATTCCCGTTGAAGACGTTGAGCAGTGAGGCTGTGGCCGCATCCATGGGGGTGACCTTCATGTGATTCACTGCAGACGAGAGAGGAGAATTCCATGACTCCAGGGAGTAGGTGCAGGATGCAGAAACCCACCCAGCAGACACTGGCTACACTCAACTAGACAAGGCTTTTTTTTCCCAAAAACGATCCCACCTTCAGACCCACCCATCTGGCTGCAGCAGTCATTAAAGCAGTGTCAGGTGGGAAGAGTTCAACCTGTTGATGTGAGTGGCAGTCACACCAATAGACAGGCTGCAGGTGTGGCCACACAACACAGACCATCTGGTAGAGAACCGCTGAGCCCAGGCTCCAGCTGGGAGTGCCTGCAGGCAGGAAATAAAACTGCAGCTGGGCGTGCTCCTAAGGACTTTTATTTAGTGATGTTAACTCCTTGAGATTGAAACAAATATTCAACAAAGGCTGGAATTTTGCTTTTATCAAAGGCTTTTGGGATTCTAAAAGTCTGGGTGTCAAACACCTATCCCAGTTGGCATTCTCACACATTCCTACAGGCCCATACATTAGGCATCTAAAATAAATTAGGCTGCAAGCAAGAGAAATATGAGTGAATAAGTTAAATACAAATCCCAGCTTTTGTGGAGAATTGCTTTTGAAGGTCCCCCAGGGGGCCACTTCCGGGTACAACACGATGAGCTTTGGAGTAGAGTCAAGTAAAGATCGCTTGCTCTCAGTTAAGTTTCTCAAAGGACCTGGATTCCTGGAGCAAACTCTGCTACCTAAAAGGGGGGCTAATGTCTTCCAGGACTTTCTGGGTTAACAGAAACTTTTTTTTTTTTTTGAGATGGTGTTTTACTCTTGTTATCCAGGCTGGAGTGCAATGGCGTGGTCTCGGCTCACCGCAACCTCCGCCTCCTGGGTTCAGGCAATTCTCCTGCCTCAGCCTCCTGAGTAGCCGGGATTACAGGCACGCGCCACCATGCCCAGCTAATGTTTTGTATTTTTAGTAGAGACGGGGTTTCACCATGTTGACCAGGATGGTCTTGATCTCTTGACCTCATGATCCACCCGCCTCGGCCTCCCAAAGTGCTGGGATTACAGGCATGAGCCACCGCGCCCGGCCAACAGAAACGTTTTATAGTAATGGAACTGAACTTGGAATTTTATCTGGAAGGAGTCACCTGGGATGGAGGCTATCTCCCTTTATTTGGCATAATAGAACTGATACCATTTTACAAAGATGCTCAAACTTAAAGAAGAAAGCAACCTTCTAAAACAGCAACCACAAGCTCTGCTTTGTTGCTGGCAGCCTGGTACAGCTCCTCCCTCCCCTCCTCGTTTAGTGATCAGGACACAGTCTGAATCTTCCCACAAATGCTCCCACCTCCAAGCAGGTGACAGCCTCTCAATTACACAGCAGGCTCAGGGTAAGAAAGGACAGCTCCAAGCACCTGAGGTGTCACTAATACCTCTTTATTGCCCACTCAAGGAATCACTATGGCAGACAAGCAAACACAGTGTTATTAGAGGGGTGGCATGGAATCCACCAGAGTTGTGTATAAAAAACGTCAAGTGCAGACTTGAGATTTCTTTTTTTGTTTTTTAGACACAGGGTCTTCCTCTGCTGCCCAGGCTGGAGTACAGTGGCAAGATCACATCTCACTGCAGGCTCAACTTCCTGGGCTCAAACGATCCTCCCAGCTCAGCCTCCAGAATAGATGGGACTACAGGCACATGCCACCACACCCGGCTAATTTATTTTTTATAGAATCGGGGCCTCACTGTGTTGCCCAGGCTGGTTTCAAACTTCTGGCCGCACGAGATCCTCCTGCCTTGGCTTTCCAAAGTGTTGGGATTATAGGCATGAGCCTCGGACCTGGCCAGAGATTTCATTCCCAGTAACATCCTCCCTGGGCTGGCAACTTCCCACATGCGGCGCAGCGGTGTGGACTCCTCCTGCATTCAGGCCTGCCAGCAGAGACTGTCCACCTGATCCATTTTGAGCAGGGAGAAACTAAGAGGATGTTGAGAAGGACTGAGGCAGAAATGACTCCCTAGTAACTCAGGAAGAAAAGAGGTCCCTTCCCTCATCTCTGCCTCCACAAAAAATGTCACAGGGCTGTCTATCGGCTGATCCGAGGTGGGAATCCTACCTTTGAAAACAAACTCAGTGCCTCCCATGACCCTGGAGGAGAGGACGCCGCGGCTGTAGCGGCCCCGGGCGTAGATGGAGAAGGTGGGGTGCTTGCACACCGGGTCTGAGTAGTGGTAGTAGTGGCCCTCCCAGGTGTTGTTGTTGTCGTGGAAGATGAAGTGGCGGGTGAGGAAAGAGGACTTCGGGGCGCACCTCGCAGCGCTGGCTCACCCACTCCCCGTGCAGACCAATGGTCAGGTCCGCCTTCGGGGGCAGGATGGGAGGGTGGTGCTCGTCTGACCGATAGATGATCCGACAGGCGATGCAGGCATGGTCGTGGTTCTGAAGCCAAGAAACAAACATACTCAGAGGGCTTCGTCTTCCCAAGGGAGCAGTGCACACGTGCTTCCAGCAGCGGGTCTCACCAGGTACCAGGTCACCATCACTGACAACCTCAACACCAAGAACCAACTGGAATCATGCTCCAGGGCACAGACAGAGGCGAGAGTGACTTGTGCCTGTGTGCCCACGGATACCCATAAGTGCACACGTGTTTGCCTGACAGTACAGACCTACACAAACATTTCAGATGTGATGTGGACTCTTTAGAATCCTATTAAGTTTTCAGACCACATACACTGGACACTTGATTTCAAAAAGAAATGATGGTAGCACCTCATACCCATTAAGATGGCTACTATCAAAAAATGCTATCAAAAAATCACAAGTTGGCGAGGATGTGAAGTAATTGGCACACTTAAACGCAGCTAGTGAGAGTGCAAAATGGTGCAGCCGCTGTGGAAAACAGTAAGGCAGTTCCTCAAAAAAAGAAAAAAGAAAAGAAAGCAACAGATTACCCACTAAAGAAACATATTACCATATGAGTCAGCAATCTTACTTCTGGGTATTCACCCAAGAGTTGAAAGCAGGGACTTGAATAGGTATTTGCACACCTACGTTCGCATCAGGGTTATTTAAAATAACCAAAAGGTAGAAGCGACCCAAATGTTCACTGATGGATAAACGGATCAGTAAAACGTGGTCTATCCATATGATGAAATACCCTTCGGCCTCAGAAAGGCAGGAAGTTCTGACACCCGCTACAGCAGTAATGAAACTCGTGGACATCATGCTAAGTCAAATAAACCAGACACAAAAGGACACTGTAGAATGTCACTTATATGAGGTTCCTAGAGTGATCAAATTCATAGAAACAGAAAGTGGGATGGTGGTTGCAGGGGCTGGAGGAGGGGGAATGAGGAGTGGTTTAATGGGTCCAGAGGTTCAGTCTGGGCAGATGAAAAAGTGCTGGAGGTGGAAGGTGGCGATGGTTGCACAATAATGTGAGTGTCCTCAGTGCCACAGAATTGCTCACTTAAAACTGGTTAAACTACACATTTTACATTATGTGTATTTTACCATAATTAAAATGTATTTTAATTTTAAAAAGTTAGGAGACACAAAAGAAAAAAAAAGGGACCAGCGCTCCACTGGCTGCGGATGAAAGTGAGTTGTGTAGGAAGGGAGGGGCCTTTAGAAGAGGGAATGGAGCAGGGGGCCACAGAGCAGTAAGCACACCTGCACACTGCCCTCTCTCTGGGTCTGCCCACCTCCAGATTCAGAAGCACACGTGAGGGATGCTGGAAGTCAGGGCACAGGGTGCTTGAACCCAGTGCCGGTGCCTCTCTGTCTGACCAAGTTCTCCGCACACTTCTGAGCCTGGGCTGCCTCATCCTGCACCTGGGTCATCCCTCTGCTATTCTCCTCCTACTTCGGGGGTGAGGAGTGCAAAGCTGGAGGGCTAACAGAATGCTGACCACTAACAGCATGCGCTGATCGGATCAGGCTGTGGTGGGGAGGTAGAAGTGGGTAGCTCCGTGTTCCAGGGATGGCTGGGCCATCTCAGCCCTGCGCTCCCATGCCATCAGTTCGTGGCCTCACATCTGCCCTGTGGCCAACGCTGAGGGGTGCCCAGTGACCAGGCAGGCACACTCTTCTTCTCCAGCATTTGTTTCCAAAAGTTGCAGATCTCAATCACTAGCGTCTTTGGGTTTACAGCCCTCACTCAACATGTGATTTTGTTGTGGTTGTTTGATTTCTCAGAGAGGGTGGGAGGAGCCGTGGGCTTCCCAGCTGCCTTGCAGCCATTCTCTTCCGAGACGGCTATGCTCGCTCACTTGCGCTCCTGCAGTGTGCATTAGATGGTCGTAGGATTGCACTCGTGTGAATGTTTCCCTTGCTAACATGGTTTGTGGCTTGTAGACGATGGGATCAAATGGCCGCAACACTGAGACGAAAGCCAAGTCCTGGGCATCCCCAGGCTCCGCTGGCAGTCGTTGGCCTGCGGTTTCCTACAGAGGGATCTGGGGCACACAGAGAAATTGCCTGCAACCTGTGCTCAGCATGAGCTGCCCGCTGCAAGTTACCAGAGAAATAGAGAGAGAAGAGCTTCTGGATGAGGCTCATTAGGCTGCTGCTTAAGCACGGCAGGGAAAGATGGCTCTGGCCAGGTCCTGGAGTCTGAGGTCAGCCCTGGCCGCTGGTGATTTGGGGCAAGTTATTTATTTCTCTAGATTTCAACTTCCTCATTTATATAATGGTGATCGTTATACTTATTAGCATAACTGCTGCAAGAAATGAACAGTAGATTAAGGTGGTTCCCACTCCATGCACCCAATTGGTGTATTAAATTAAGATTAAATAAAGGCCTATCTGCCACCCTATGTGCCACTATCTTTCAAAGGCACCTTAAGGTGAAGAAAATACAAACTGAGTTAAAGGAAAGCATCACTGAATACGGTAGCTTTGCCCTTATGTTTCCTTAGTCAACTACTATGGGGTAAAGGTTTCAGATTTTTCACCCTCAGTAAGTGTTCTGATATTCAAAACCCAGGGTGGAAAGTTAATATGACGTACTGTGCCCAGCCCAGGAATCCTGCCTAAGTGCTGGTATTATCACCATTGAAACTGGGCCTGCAGTCCTGGTGTGGAGACCAGCGACATTCACTCCGACACTGGCCCGGAACCTGGATGTAAATCACGAAAGCATCACAGTCCGGAGGGTGGTGTTCTCCTGTGGTGCCTGTTAACAAAGACGCAGGCTGTGCGCGAACCAGTCCCCAGCCCAGCACCACCTTGGTGAGCCAGCACATGCTGAAATAAGAGAAGTCACCTGGAGCACTCCTTCCGTCGGGGTAAGAAGCTCAGGGGCCAGATCTCCCTCAATCAGCCAGGAGGAGCTGTGCACTCCTCTCATTTGCAGCTCATCACTGGTGGCCAGCTGCCCAAAGCCTAGCTGGTGGCCCCGCTCCCCTACACCAACCTCAACCTCCACCTCCCCTCTGTACCATTCCCCATAACCTGGTTTGCCAACTGTAATCTGGGAATTTAAAAACATCAATTGTGATGCCCTCATTTCTGGTCATTCTAGGGAACTGAGTCTCAATCCCTGAAAAGATTTTCTTCCTCAAATACCAGGATCAATTCAGGAAAAGCTCAGAGAGCTTCTAAGTTGGGGGTGGGAGAGAGAAAATAAGGGATGTTAGTTCTTGCAAGAGATGTTTCTGGGACGTTGTCGAGGGCCAACTGCTCTTTGACTCAGACAAGGAAAAGGTTCGGAAGAGGGGAGGGGACATTGCTGTCACCTGAGTTGTTCCAGAATGGGTGTTTGTGCAGTGCTTTCCTTTAGGAATAATGAGGCTGGGGTCCTGAGACGAGGACCTGGTGGGAATTGGTTACTTTAGGAGAATGATGGTCCTGGGCTGAAGTGTCGCTGTTCCATAGCAGAGAAAAGCAGGCCAGGCAGGTTTTCTTTGCCGGGCTGGGGTGGAGTAGGGAGGCTTGTTTTCCATCAGGTTGTCTGAGAATTTAGGGTGGGTGCAGGGACTAGGAGGAACCTGGCTCCTAGGTACTGGTCTTGCCAAACCCCTAAACTAAATGCTTTCTTTTATTGTGGTTATATATATGTAACACGGAATTTGCCATCTTAGCCATTTTCAAGTATATTCACACTGCAGTGCGGCCACTCCTGGAACCTATTCGTCTTCCCCAGCTGAAAATCTGCACCCACTAAACACTAACACCCCATTCTCCTTTCTGCCCCTGGAAACCTCCATTCTCCCTTGTCTCTGTGGATTTGACTAATCTAGGTGCTTTATATGAGGGGAATCATTACTATTTGTCCTTTTGTATCTGGCTTATCTCACTTAGCATATGATCCTCAAGCTTTATCAATGTTGTAAAATGTGTCAGAATTTACATCCTTTTAAAGATGAATGATATTCTATCGTATGTATATTTCACAGTTTTAGCTACAGTTGAATAAGGAGACATCTCTTATTGTTAATAAATTTTAAAATGTCATTTATGCTCCGAATTGTCATAATCTTTGGCTTGAATAAAACTTAAGAGACCTACAGGCACAACTACAGAGAAGCAGAAATTAAAGTCTGTATATTGTATTGGTTTTAAATTTCTCTTTTCTAAGATGCTTTTTGGAAACAGTATCCTTCCAAGATAGATACATGGAAAGAGAATCACATGTGCAGTTTTTAAACATGATGAGTGATTGGTACTGTGGAATATCATTTGCTATGTAAAATTATTCCTTCTTTTTTTAGGATCCATGTTCCAAGACCCAACTCTCATTTGAGAAGTGTCCTCTCCCAGGCTCACCAACTTGGTTTCCACGGCATCCCCTTTCCCTGAATCTTAGAAAGGGCTATTTAAAGCCAGAGTTTCTGTACACAGAATATTTGAAGGTTAAGGCAGAGGAACCAGAAAGTGTTTCCTTGTTGCTATTCTTTACACACACTATAAAAAGCTTTCATCAGAAAGGGGAAGGGAGAAAAAAGATCCCTATGCAAGCAATCTCTGAAAAAAAAATCAAGGTTATTCTAAAAAGAAAGAAACTTATACTTTATAAGTGAGCAATGTTCTAGGCAAAGAGTGGGGTTCTGCCTGCTCTGCTCTGTGATTCCTGCCCAGCTCTGGGTAACAAATTAAATAACTACAGCTTGCATTCACAGGACATTTGAGCCTGGGGGGTTCAAGTACAGCATCTCCTTGGGCTTTACAGTCTCCCAGGAGACCAAGGGTACATTGTACAGATGAGGCAACTAAGGCATCTGGAGACAAAGAGTCAGATGACTTTACAAACCCAAAGTGGAACCAGGATGGAAATTTGGACCATCTTAGGACTTGCTGAGTGCCGCCTCCTGGCCAGAGCTGCCTCTCAGGCAGAGAACAGACGTTTCCCCAGCAAGGACTCCAGCCCAGGAAAAGGGCTTCTCCGGCTGATGACTGATGGGGATTCTCCAGGCTTTCTCTATTCCCTACCAATA